CTTTCCTCCAGGAGCTTGATGGTCTAGTTAGCAGGTTAGGACATGACTGTTATATAAAGATAACTAAAGGTTCCGTGCACTGACTGGTGCTTGCAGTCCTCCCTACTTAGGCTGTGATGGGCAACACAGCAAGGCTCTAACAAATATCTGGGTGTAGTGGCCCCTCTAATTCTAGCAGCAATATCACTGCAAATTTGAGGCCCGTCTCAGTCACATAGTTCAGACCAGCCTAATATATGTAGTGAGACACTCTTAAGCAAAACAAAACAACCCAAATAAAAAACAAAACCTACTGAAAGTAATAATACCAAATAAGTGATACACATAAGCATAATCAAAGAAGATTTTTATTTTAAGCTAGAAATTGAAATGGGCCTTATAAAGTGAAAAAGATTTTAACACCGAAGAGGGGTGGGGAAGACCAGGACTCTGAGAAGCTACGATTTGCCTAAATGTCCATGTCAACAAAGAGGAACGATAGACAAGTATGGTAGCAGGCCGGACTGAAGTGAAGGAATCTTACTTGGGATATAGAAAACAATCCAAAAGTAGGCCAGGCCATATTTTGAAAAACTTTGTGTATTTTCAAAGTCTAGGTTTGTCTTAGTCACTATCTTGTTGCTGGGACAAAATACGTACAATTTTAAAGAGGAAAGGTTTATTTCAGCTCACAGTTTTAGTCCATAGTTGGCTGTCTTCAAGGCAAGAAGGCATGGTGGAAGGGCACAGGCAGAGGAAAGCTTCTGTCCTCATGGCAGCCAGGAAGCAGAGAGGGAAGGGAAGTGGATCCTTCCAGGTCGCACTCCAGTGACCCGCCTCTGGTGACCAATGTTCAGCTGTTCACCTCCATAATTCCATCATCCTCCCAAAGCCCCATCCATGAGGACTTGAGGCTCTTGGGGCTATAAGAGTACTTAGATATAAAACATAATGGTATTTTAAAAATGGAGTTTTCCGTTCATTTTCATTGGGGAATGTGACAGCTTTTAAAACTGGACATTAAGTGGCAGGAATAAAGTGGTGATTTGGTAGATGGATCTGATTAAGCTCTTCTAAAAGAGTTTAAAGGGAAGATGCAGGGGCAGTGGGGAGTAATTGCAATAGTCCCAGTATGACATGGAAACAGTGTTGATGCTGGGCATTAAATATAAAGAAGGACGAAAGCTTAAGTGACTAGCGTAAGAGACATAGGGTGTGCAATGTGCCTTACGTGTTCACCAACCCAAAACTTAGCTAAGGTGAAGAGGTCAACAGAAAAGTTAAATTGACAACCAAAGTTACAGTGGTCTTAGAGCAAAACCCTGATTGTAACTCCTACTCTTTTTCCAATAGAAAAGGGGTTCATTTATTTGACAGATGATTATTGAGAAAAGTTATATGCCAGCCACTGTGTAGAATAGGAGATGCCATATAACAGCACATGGGCTGACCATCTGTTTTTGTAAATGAGAGTTTTATTCAAATACAGCCACCTTTACTGATTTTAGCTGCTTTTGCACTGCAGTGCAGAGTTGAGAAGTTGCAGCAAGATTGCAAAGTCTGCAGGCCTAAAATACTTGTCTGACTGTTGAGAAAGTTTGTTGATTGCTGACTTGTAACATTAACATTTTTCCTTAAAAGTCAGAAGTATACAAAAAGGTAGAACCAGATATGGTGGTACACACCTATAATCCCAACATTCAGGGCTGAGGTAGGAGGGTATAAGGCTAGCCTGTAGCAAGACCCTGTCTCAGACACTATAGTGCACCTGTGCACGCACGCACGCACGCGCGCACACACACACATACACACACACACACAAGAAGCTTAATTAGAGCAGAGTCATACTTTTAGATATCCCTTGAACCCTGTTTTCCACCCATCACATTGGTTTATCTGCCCTTCTTTTTCTACATGCAGTCTTTCACACTTTTTTTAGCTTATGAATACTTGGGGAATCACTCCATATCAATTTATGGAGCTCTTTCTCATTATTTTAGCTGCATAGTACTACATAGTGTGTGTATGTGTGTGTGTTTGTGTGCGTGCGTGTGTGCACAGGTGCACTATAGTGTACTCAACCAATGCTGCTGATGTAGTTTCCAGTATATAGCGATTTTAAATAGTGCTGAACTGAAAACCCTTGCATCTGCTTACTACTTTTTGGTGATGATTGAACTCAGGACCTGTTGTCATATACTGTATATTATTTAAGTGGCATCTTCACTAAGTATCTAGAAATGATGAATACTCTTCTATGTATGTGTTGTATGTATGTTCATATTATTGAAATTGTGTCTATAGTAAGTACTTGAAAGTAAAAATGATGGAGGTAAAAACTAATTGGATAGTTCATAATTTTAGGGATATGTACATGTTGGTTTCTGGAAAATATTGCTAGTTAAGTAATAGCATTCATCAAATAATCCAATTGGTTTAAATATGTTCTGTAGTCATAAATTTGTTCACTGATCCTACTGAATTTGTAATGTATTTCTTAGCAGTTATGTTACAAATGGGTAATTCAGTTTCCATGCCAGCCCTAAGAGTTTTTGAAAAAGTTTACCTTAGGATTTTTGAGATTTCATCCACATCTAAATTATTTCTGTAGAAAAATTCATCTGTAACTAAGGACATAGGTCGTATCTCCCTTCATTTGTGACCTCTGGAGTTGGACTGGCATGCAGAAATTTTAAAAGTTGAGTTTTGGGGAGCAGTAAAGATTCTTCCAGGCAATAGTGATAGTTCGTTTGTTTTTGAGACAGGATCTCCCTATGCAGGTTAGACTGGCCCTGAATTCACTTTGTAGCCCAAGCTGGCCTTGGCCTGCCTGATTCTCCTGCCTCAGCCTCGTAAATGCTGGGATTACAGTATCCGCAGTTACCGCAGTTACAGTTACCACCACACTTGGTTAATAGTAATTTAATACACTGACAAAAGACAGTCTCTGAGGATCCAATATTGCACAACCAAAAATCAATTGCTTTACTCTAAATAACTCTCTTCCATTCATAAAACAAATGGGGTGTGTCAGTTGGGAAAGTGAAGTTTGCTTCATTTTCTATTTTCTGTTCCTCAACTGAATGGTTAATTTCTTTAAATACCAGTATCTGTAATTAGAATTTTATTTCAAATTTACTTTCAGTATGTTGAATGTAAACTTTTCTGAGCTTAGTTTCTTTAAAGGAAATTAGTATGAGATTAGTTAAATCTACTCTTTTATGAAGCTCTAAAAACAGTGGTGCAGTATGTTTTAAGGGAGGAGTTGATACATATTATCACTTTAAGGAAATAATATTAAGTTTACTGAATAAAAGGAAAAGAGAAAGCCCTTGGAATATATAATATACCTTGAAGTACAACACTGACAAAGGAAAGTAATTTTGTTCTGCTACTTTTTCCATCCATATAATTAAGAGTTACTCATTATTTAAAGTTCTAGGTGAGAAAACTACTATTTGTCATTGCATTGTGTAGTACTGCTTTGTGAGAAATCTTAAAGAATTTTTAATCATATAATTCTCTTATAGACAAGAAAGCAATGAAAATGTTTCTATGAGCATAGTCTTAACAGCCTTAGGTTTTTTACTCACTTGTCTTTAAGCAGGAAAATTTCTAAGTAATCCGAAAGTTAACAGAACTCCCAACCCCCTTCTGCCAGATGAGTAGACTGTTAGTTGCTTTTCAGTTCAAAATGTATGTTTAACAGTGTTATTTGCTTTTCTGGAATGTGACTCCAAACAGAGAAACCTAAGGTTGATTGAAGAAACTATGTTAACAATGTATATTACATCTTTTATGCTTAGTATCTTAGGTTTGCCTAAAGACCATGGATCCCTAAAGAAAAACCCTATTGCTATTTTATTGAAAACAGATTTACCTAATCTAGTACATGATTGTGATTCATCTGAAATCATTGTATCTCAATCACTTCTTGGCCTTTTGACTAATACCAAGTAAAATCATTGTAGTCCAACCTCAGAGAATAGTAAAAGTCAAATTCTCATCTTAAAAAGTGTTTTTCTAGGTTGTATTAGCATGAAAGATTAAGAAGATTATTATGAATTCGATTATATATGTCCTTTTTCTGACACAGAAAACATTGTTTTTTGGCTAACTTTGGAGAACTGATTGAATTTGAGGCAAAAAAGATACATTAAAAAAATAAACATTTTTGTGTAACTTCTAAAATACAGCTGGAAACTGTATCTTTTTATATTTTGTGAAATGAAAATGTATTTGTCTTATTTGTTCTTACAGTTTTGCTGTTTCTTATGTAAAGAACTCTTATTAAATTTTTTTGCATACACCACATTTTTTCTACTTGAAATAACATTTTAAAGTATTTAACATTTGGCTTCAAATGGTTAAGAAGAGGAAAGGAAAATAAAATATCTTAGATCTATGTCACTTTCTAAGTATAAAGTATTACTTTTCACTATCTCTGGTGTTTCTCTGATGAAACATACTTCAAATCCAAATTCTTTATTTTTGTGACATACATGTACTTTTAAAATATACCTCTGGTTGTGTTTTATTTTTTTAAAAAGTTACTTGGCAAAATAACATTTTATTAATTCCTCCCTCAATTTTTGTGGCATATACCATTTTGAAATTTGATGTTATATTTTGAAAATGAATCAAAATAGTAATTTCAAAGCATACTAATTAACACTGGTTTTTATGACTTGCCTACAAAAGTAAAACCTTTAATTATTAAGTATAATTGATAATACTTAACATCATCAACAGTTGCCATTCTTCAGAAGACTACTTTTTAGCTACTTTTTGAGAAAATACTCAAAATGTTTGAGATTACTCTTTATGACTAACTTTAATTCAAAATGAAACATAAAATGTTTCATTAAACATAATTTACAGTGGAATAAGCAATTTAGTATAAATCATTTAGTATAAAAATTCAGCAAACTAAGTAATTTAGTATAAAAAGAAATAAAGGAACAATTTAAAGAGTACAAATGGTCACCACATGATTTCAATCAGTCACTTTTAGACTTGAATAACTTTTTAAAGATATTTTAATGAAGAAAGACCATATTAAATCAAAATAAACACATTAAAGAAAAATAAAATGGATTATATATCAAGAATAGAATATTTTTTAATGCTTAACACATTGAATACAAATATTCTTTAAAAACATGTAAATGTCCACGTGTTAATTTGTTTCAGAGGAGGAGAAAAGCTTTTGTAAGAACACCTTTCACAGTTAATGGAGCTTGGAGGTTCCAGTGGTTTTATTTCAGATAGCTTATATGGTAGATTCATTGTCAGATATCTTTTTTAAGGTCTGTAGGCTGTGTTGAATAAAATTGTCTGTTCCTTGAACTTCAGAGAATCTGGAGTCGCTTCTCCTGACAGACCAGTTTTTCATTTTTATTGAATTCTGAATTGTGTCCGACGTAAAGTAGTAAACTATAGGGTCAAAACAGCAGTTGGAAACGGCGATGCAGAGAGTGATTGGGTACATCGTCCTTACGGCTGCCACGACTGAGCAATTAACAAATGTCTGTGTTCTCATAAGAGAATATAAAATCAGATTGATATTGTAAGGCACAAAACAGAAACAGAATATAATCAAGTGTACAAAAATCATTTTTAAAACCTTAGTTTTGTTTATTTTGCTTCTACTTAATGTAACAGGTTTATTTAAAGTTCTTAGCACCATACTAGAACAAGTTACATTCAAAATTAGAGGAATAAAAAATCCCACTGTTTCGATGAAAATTACAATCCTTGAGAGGTAAGTTTTCCACGTGGCTTCTGAAAAGTTTTCAAAGCAGGTTTCCGAGGTATTGTTGGGCTGTGAGTTGGTAGACTGAAAAAAAACTGCTGGCGCACTTCCTCCCATCACGGTGAGCCACACGGCAGCGCAGACCACCTTTGCGTTTCGTTTGGTTCTCAGCGTCTTTGACTTAAATGGGTAGACGATTGCCAGAAACCGGTCTACACTGATGCACGTCAGAAAGAAAATGCTTCCGTACATGTTGGTATAAAACAGCATTACAGAAATCTTACAGAGTAAATCTCCAAACGGCCAGTTCTGCGTTGCAAAGTAAAAAATCCTGAAGGGTAAAGTGAAAACGAAAAGCAGGTCTGACATTGCCAAGTTAATCATGTACGTTGTGGTTTCATTCCGCACTTTGAGGATGCAGATGAAAATGTATATGGCAACACAGTTGGATATTAAGCCAAGCACAAACACCATGCTGAACATGCAGCCATACAAAGTGTACTTAAAAGAGTCATCATACACGCAGTGGGAGCTGTTTGTGCTTACCATTATAAAGGCCGTCCAGCGTGTGGCGCCGAGGTCCTTTTGTCAGCTGCAGTCTCCTTTGCTATTCAGATTTTGGTTACTATAACTTCCCGTATACTTTTTGCAAAGTATTTGGCTCTTTGGGCAGTTTTGTAAAATGTCTCCTTTTTCTCTGAAATCTCCAAGAGAAACATGAAACCGAGTACTCCAAAGTCTCTAGTAGGTTCTTCCACAGGAGAGGACTCTCATTTTCTAGTATCCAGATAATCCATGAATCCAGAGTTTAAGTGACGAGAAAGTGCAGTCAAGGAAGCCAACCCGTAAGGCGGCCGGCATAGACAACGCCGCGTTCCGAGTCTGGAGAAACAGCCACTTTGTCTCGTAATCTGGTCTTTCTGTAGTCAAGATGAATGTTCAAAGTTAATATTCTCTTACACTCCAAACTGTTTAAGCTTAGGTTATCTATCTTATTTTACTTTTCAGTGCAGAATTTCAGAGACTTAAACATTCCCAGTTTGTCTTTTGCTTTTTCTAAATGAAGCCTTTTTAAAAAAAAAAAAAGTTTTCCTTTTTGGTATTCGTGCAGTAGATCCCAGATGGTGGTAAGTAGAAGAATCTTTTAGAGGTTCCGAAATAAATTCCTGAGCGTGTTTGCTCTTGCTGAATTGAGGCCTTTTCCGCAGTTGCCAGCTGTGACTGTGAGATGAGCTTTCTCTGAAGTGAAAAAGAAAGGCTTCCTAGATTTGTAGTATGACATCACAGGAAGAAGAGGCTGGGTTTGGACAAAGGAAGGTTTCAGCCCAGTTTGTTTGCAGTTCCTTTAATCTGATAATGCGTCTGCTGGGAGTATACCTAGGAGGCTTGCAAATGGTTACTGGCTGTTTAGCAGGCTTTTTATGTGGAAATACTTTCTGTGGTTCTGGCAGCCTCTCAGAATTGTTTTTGTTTTGTTTTGTTTGCATAGTAATTGAGAGAAAGAAAAAAATCAGTTTAAACCTCTTTCCTTGTTTCTCTCATTCAGTTGCTTTTGTGTTTGGGATATGATCTTTAGAAATAAAATATATCTGGGTGCATACTTAACTTTTTAGGGCTATTTTAATGTAACAATTTAAAGAACTGTTTAATGACTGAAAAATAGACCTTTAGAGACGAATGATAATTTTGTCACTCTTGTGGCTTGTTTTTAAATTACTTGAGATTTAATTTATTGGTGTGCTTGTGACTAGCTTTAATTCTGGCTCTCTTTAGTTTTTGATAATTAATTTTCTAACATTTCTCCTTCCTGTGAGACTAAATTAATTTTTTAGAGCTGTTTCAATATTTATGTAACCCCTTTCACAAATTTAGCTCAATAGTAGAGCATGTGTTTACCATTGAAGGCTCTGGATTCAAACCCCAGCACACGTGCACGCGCGCACACACACACTAACACAGATAGTAAATAAACAGGAAAGAAGGAGAATGTTTGTCTTTGATGTGGTATTAATTTTATTTTACTCACAATTTAAGCACCCGTAAAGGTGCATTCTTTTTTAAAACAAAATGCTTTTCTTTCTAAATTTATTGGAATAACTTCTGCAGAAGAAGCATTCTGTGTAGCTGGATTTCAGGTTTATAACTTTATTTTTGTTCTTTCCAGCTCTTCTTTAACTGTCTTAACTTGACATTAACCGTATAATCATAACCCACCCCCCAAATCAAAAGAACATATGGGTGAGATGGACATATATGAATGTAAATGTTGTTTCCTCAAGAATCGAGGCTGTCACAACCATTGAGATACATATTTTTCTTAAACTACTTTTGTGTGTTTTTGCGCGTGCTCCAGGGGCAAGAACTTGCTGTGCCATTGAGTTGCTTCCTCTGCCCTGTGGTCTTTGAGAAAGGCTAGATCTAGTTGTGTTTTATAGTTCATACTCTCCCTTTGGCATATCAGTTAAGGAATTTAAGAGCAATTTACTTTTCCTTAATAAATTACTTAACTAATTTAAAAATAACACAATAAGAATGTTTGTACATTTTTAATTATATTCATTGATGCATTATAATCTATTGTTTTAATTTGGAAATTCATCTGTAATCAAATGGTGTAAATATGAATATTATTTACTACCAGTAAACTTAAAACATTGAGAGTTGAATTATTTTGCTTCTTTTTAAAAATTTTCTTTGGTATGGAAAAAAGGGATAGATGTGTTCATATTAGAAGGCTCTTAGAAAATTGGAGTGAGCAGTAATGAAAAAGTAATTAATAAGCCTTGACCTGGTCTACTTCTACTTTCATTTTGAATATGATATTTTCTCAAAGAATCAGAATATATTATGTATTGGAATATTCTTCATGTTCAGTTACTCAGCTGTTATTCACCTATTGTTTTTTTTTTTTTTTTTTTGTCTTTTTCTTTTTTTATTGGTACTGGGGATCGAACTCATGACCACACACTTACAAGGCAGGCACTTATGCGCTGAGCTAAATCTCCAGCCCCTCAGCTATTGTTTTTTCATGTTTGAGTTGATGCTTAAAATGAATAGGCAACAATTTGCTGAATTATTCATTATTCAACATTATTTTCATTGTTATCTGTATATTAATACACTTTTGTATTTTAATTCTTAGCACAATTGTTGACCCTTAGTAGATCCTGACATGTTTGCTGATAAATGAATCATATTAATAAGCTTGAATTTTGTTGGAACATGTTTCTTACAAGCAGTAGCAATAGAGCTGTTTCAGTAGGAAGAAAATTTATTATTGGATTTTTGAGATACTTTGACTGCTAAATTATGGAATGAAAGTGAAATTTGATACCTTGAAAAGCCTTAAATTTTTTAAAAAATGCAAAGACTACTTACAAAGAATGCTTTAGAGAATTAAGTATATTGAGTAGGTACCTTTGTGTTTGATAGACGAAGATAAATTTAATGTGAGATTTATACACTTCCAGAATTTAAGAGTAAGAGTCAGATTTTCTTGGTTGGATCCTTTTCCTGGTGGGTAGGTGGGAGCTCCAAAGTCAGAAGCCGAACTGGTAAAGATAAATTTTATTCTGGATGTTGCAAGCATACATCTAAAACTAATTTGAGGACAGGGGATTTAGCTCAGTGGCATAAGCACCTGCCTTGCAAGCACATGGTGCTGAGTTCAATCCCCGGTACAAAAAAAAAAACTAATTTGAGTATAGTACACCCATACTAGTGATTTAAGTATACTGAATCTCATTATGCATCTCATTACTTTTCAAATTTTAATTATATACAAAAGCCAGATGCCTAACCAGCTAGTTTTGTTTTTACATTTCTTTTTGGAACCGGGGATCGAACTCACAACTTTGAGCTTGCCAATGAGGCACTTATGCTGCTAAGCTAAATCCCTGGTCCTAACTAGCTAATTTTATAGTAGATTTTTCATTTTTAGTACATGAGTGGTCTTAGTCTTTTGTGTGATTTTTTTTTTTCAGATTGAGAGAGAATATTCTGTTAGCTATTAGACATTTAAGGATTTGGGGTAACTTAATAAATTCTAGTGTGTTATGGCTCTGAGGAAAACTTACCTAGGTCTGATTCAAAATAGGCTCAGAACAATGTTAAACCTTTATTGAACACCAATATAAATAAATACAGTGTCAGATTTATTCTTCAGTCAGTCCTTTCTTTTTCATTCAGGTCATTTTTGGTAGTAACATTTTTATCTTGCTCCTTTTTCATTTCCACTGTCGTCGTTTGTGTCCACACTGTCTCTGATCTGTGTTGTTGTTATGTCTTTTCTTCCCTTTTTTAGTCCTGTGGGCTACCTGTTGCCCTCTACTAGACCTTCTCAGATCAACTCATGAATGACTCAACTAATTATATATTATCTTCTTGCTTCCAAAAAGAACTTATAGCAAACTATAATTTTAAAATAAATATACTACCAAAATATAAACATCTAAAATTTTTGTATTTCATGATATGCAAATTATAATTTAGCTAAAAAATTAAAAAGGAAGTGTAGAAGCGAGAACACTTTGAAACGTGAGGGCTGAGGATGCGGCTCGGAGGTGGAGCAGCTTCTCAGCATGGGTGGGCCTGGGTTACATCTTCAGCACTGTAAAATAAATTAATGAAGTGATTAAATGAGAGAAATTATTCTAAACATTTCATATTTATTATTCTAAAGATTCACATTGGATTTAATAAATGTTTCAACCTCCCCCCAAAACTAAATCCATTATACACTAATAAAAATTAAGTTGTATGTTTGTGGGGAGCAGGAAAGTATGGAAAATCATAGCAGAAAAATCAAGAGTAGAGAAGTTGGTGCATTTGACACAAGACAAAATAGGAAAACATATGTGTAGGATTGTATTTCCTCATTTAATGAAAGAAATCATTCCAGAATGTAAAAAAAAATTTTTGTGAAACTTTATGCAAGCAGAATATTTTGTAATGACAGAAATATTTATGAAATGCTATTTCTTACTCCCATTCGAGGGAAAACACTAAATATCAAGCTATGGTTCTGAGAAAACATTTTGTTGTTGGTAGATAAATGATGTATTTTACCACTAGGCTAGTTCAGTCATCTAACACAAAAGATTTGGACCTGGGGACTTTGAAAATCCTTTTGTATGCACCCCATCCTCTTTGAGAGCTAGTTTCATAACCTTTATGAGATTCTCAAACACTGTGACTAAAAACAGATAAACACAGATCCAAAGAAATGAATTGTCAACAAGTCAAGCCCCCAGGCAGTTTCAGAAATACTGCTGAAACATTTTGAAAATTTTTCGCAATGTGCGCCGGAAGCAATCTGGACTTCAGCTGTTAATGCATATTCCTTATGCATGAATAAAGATGTGTGTAAGCAATAAAATGTGAATCCTGTATATATTTATATATTTTTTTATTTTTTTAAATTGGTACCAGGGATTAAACTTACGACCGCCTGCTTGCAAGGCAGGTGCTTATGCCGCTGAGCTAAATCCTCAGCCCCCTGTATAAACCTTTTAATAGGAAAATGTGAAAGGGTAATATAGAGTACGAGAGAAGAGACCTAGAGAAGCTTGATAGGCAGTCCCTTGCCCTTCCGTGAGTCTGGTTTCTTGGCTGTAAGAGGAAGGCTGAATGCACAAAGGTCCCTTGCTGCTTCCATATCTGATTCTGATTCTTTGAATACTTTGAATGTTTAACTGCTATGGGCTTTTTTTCTTTTTCTTTTTATTTACTCTTAGGATAACAAATCAGCGAGTCACTTTTTTTTCTTAATGTTTAAGGATTTCTTATTTTGAAACTAGGTTTACAAGAAATGTATATGAGACTCTTAAAAGAAATTTTAAATATTTTTATAGTACTGTAAAGATTGTCTTTTCTTTGTATTTCTGCAGCATTCTTCCTTAAAAAGACCACAAATAAGATGCCAACTTGAAATTTATCAAATATTTATTATGAAATTTATCAAAAGTATTCTTTTATTTAGTAAAGCATTCTCTCATTAAAAGTTTTGAAGGCCAGCCAACATGGTACTGCACATTTGTGACACTAGCTACTTGTGACATTGAGGCAGGAGGATCACAAGTCCAAGGCCAGCCTGACCAATCACAACCTGGTTTCCAAAAGGCAAAGTGGGGGTACCCTGGGGATATAACCGTGAGTGGTAGAATGTCCCTGGGTTCCATCTCCAGTATGGGGTGGGGTGTGGAGGCCGTAGTTGGAGTTGTATCTAACATGACATTGAGAATAAGGTGCAAAAAAAATTGTTTTAAATAAGAGGGTATTTGAAACTCAAGCAAAAAATAAATTTGCTCAAACTCAAAAGAA